GGGCAGTTATGGCAGAGAGGAAGATTATACAGATGTTCAATTTTCTTCTCTCCTTGGGCTGTTCCCTAATAGAATGTGAAAGCAGGTGTCCAAACTGAATGACTTAGAAATGGGTAAAAAGAAATTATCATTCAGTGTTAAAGCAGGACAGAGGATAAACTTCTGCCTGGCAAGGGTGGAGGAGGTATAAGGCCTACAGGCCTCCGAGCCCCTGGGGAACACTTACCCAGCTCCAAGGTAAACAGATTATGTTTTATTCACCTGTGTGTGAACTTACAGCAGTATCCACAAAACACAATAATCTGATTAGAATAAAACTTTCCCCTTGATTCTCTTGGTTTTCCCTGGCTCAATTTTTCTAAGGTCTGTCCTTCTAGTTGTTGGTGAAGAACTAACAAAGTTATCTTTAGGAACGCCTATACTGATTTTCTGTCTCAGAAATAAAATAATCCTCAAAAGGCATCGTGAACAGTGCCAGACACCAAACAGAGTGGGACTTTCACAGCTCCATAGTTGCCATATCACATTCCTCTCTCCTCACTATATGTTTAAATAAAAACTTTATCCTTTTCTATTCAGATTAATTCTCATTCTTAATTCTGATCTCTTAAGAGTTCTCATTTGGAGTTTCAGAAATTAAAAGGAACCTCTTGTTCCACTTTCACAGTAGGTAACTCCTAGTACCTGGCAGAAACTTTGTTAATGAAGATCCCTTAGCCCTTTTGAAATACATACTTGTGCTTGTAGCCCATTATGAAAACTTCTGTAATTTAGAACAAGCTAAATTATTGGAGCAAATAGCTCACAGCCCCGTGAGATAGGCGCCATCAGCGTTTCTTGTCAGTTATTAGCTCACCCTCTAATTTGCTGCGTTTCAGCAGTTCAGCAGGATCCCCGGGTGGTAGGAACTCACACCGTCCCATTGAACCTGCTAATTTCTCCTCCCTTTTGCTATATTTCATCATGGGCTGTGTGACCATGTGATTCATATTAGCTGCTCTGGGAGAGCCCTCCTGTCTATTTAAATGAAACAATCCTAACACTGCCTAAGGAAGAAAGAGACGTTTTACACCTATGGTTTTCTGCCCCCACTGGTGTAGATGTTGGGAGGCAGCACGACAAAGTAACATGAAAGTAGGAAGAAGGCCATGGAGGTGGATGGGTACACGGGGGCAAAGGGACGAGAAAGTTGTACAGTAATTTCTTCTGAGATAAAACATTCCATCCTGGAGAAGTTGTACAGTAATTTCTTCTGAGATAAAACAGTCCATCCTGGAGAGAAATGCTTTAAGACACAGGATGTTCTAAAAGGAGGTAAAACTTTCCATCCTGCAGGGAAGCTCATTAAGTTCAGGAAGTAAACATAAATGGGAAGTAAACAGGTTGTGCAGTAGCTCCAGGTTTCCTGCTTTCTTAAGCCTTCACCTAGGCTGCAGTGGGCTTTGGTAAGCCAGCTATCTTTGCATCATGTCTGCTCCTGTAAGTAACCCCTCACCTATACTGCCGAAAGTAACCCCAGGAAAACTCATTGATTCAACAAGTTGGTCTTTGGTGATATCCTTACTTTGGTATCTGGGGTGAGTGTTTGTTGACATTTCCCCAAGAACAGTGACACACAACAGGGAGAAGAGGGGAGGGAGGAGAATAAACAAAAAAAATAGTTTGAAATTTTCATTAAAAAATCCATCCAATTTTGTGAATGCTAAGAACAAATAAGTAAATAAAAGTAGGATAATAATTAGCATCCAGTAAGGTTAATGCTGATTAACTGAATGACTTCTTTTGATGAAACGCACTAATTTTGCCTTCTTTGTTCTTTAAAAAAGTCGCTTTTTCTTTTAATGAACATGATTGATTTTTTAAGAAACAAATGACCAGTTTCGTTAAAACAGTATAAGAAGAGACGGTGTTTTATGGTTCCTTAAAGCAGTCACATAAGCTTGGCATTGAAATCAAACATTTCTCATGATCCATGCACACTGAATGCTCCATGAGGCACCCTGTGAGGAGGCCTGGAGCAGGGGGCCAGTAAATGTATTTAACTGAATGATTGACATACTTTGATTTATTGCAGAATTGCCACTTGGACAGGCTCGTATTGGGCTAAGGAAGTGACTCAAATTATCTTCTAACATAAGCATTACACATTTTATATAATTAATGCTACCTTAAAATTGTTTGACACATAGCCAGGACACAAGTCCCATGCTGTTTGAGTCCTTCAGGTACCATAATTATAAACCAGGCAAACTTCTTTCCTTTTCTTTCTTTTTTTTGAGGGGGAGGGGTTCTCAGTGTGGCATATGTGTCCGGAGGGTTGCGCAAGCGTGTATATGCACTTGTCTGGAGGTAGAGACAACCTTGGGTCATTCCTCAAGAGGTATCCACTTTTTAACAAAGTCAGTGCTTGTGTGTTGGTGCGTGTGAGTATTGTGAACATCAGAGGACAATTTATGTGAGTTGGCTCTGCCCTTCCACCCTCTGGGTCCTAGGGATTGAACTTAGTGCCCTATCTGGGCTGAGTAGACATTTGTTTGTTCACTTCTCCCTAGGAAAAGGCCAGGCGGTGACAGCACTGGGGATTGAACTCAGATCCTCATGCTTGAAAAGCAGGCATTTCATCTCTCCAGGCTTTCTCTTCTTTATAAAGTACAAGTCCGAAGGATTTTGTTTTACCAACAACAGAAAGTGTGCTGCTGCGGTGTCCATGTGGGAAGTATTGTACAACTCACGTTGTGTGGGTTGGTAATTTTTCAGAGAATTCATACAACACAGACCCACAGCCCCTCAGGATGCATATTTTCCCAAAAAGTCATGCTTGCATTTAAATAAAAGAACTACTATTACACTCATATTTAAGTAAAACAATTTTTTGTTTTTAAATATTTTATTATTTTGTGTGTGTGTGTGTGTATGTGTGTGTGTGTGTATGAGTGTGGTGCCTGCATGGATGTAAGTGCACCCATGTTGTGCAGTGCCTGTGGAGGTCAAAAGAGGGCATCAGATCCCTTGGAATTGGAATTACGAAAGGCTGTTAGCTGCCCTGTAGGTATGTAGGTGCTGGAAATCCAACCCAGGTCCTCTGTGAGAGCAATCAGTGCTCTAATGCTGAATCATCTGTTCAGCCCCCTTCTTTTTGTTTTTTGATACAGGGTCTCCCTGTAGCCCCAGCGGGCCTGGAACCCACTAGACCAAGCTGGCCTAGAGCTCACAGAGTTCTGCCTGCCTCTGCTTCCTGAATGCTGGGATTAAAGAAGTGTGCCACCATGCATGGAATAAAACAAGCTTTTAAAATCTGTATTCTGCCTTTTGAAGCTGTGAAATATATTTTCACACATTAAGTGTGAAAATCCCAGGTTCTTTGAAGCTGGCACTAGATTCTTTGTAACCCTCCTTCTACTTCATAGATTTACCTGTTTTCCTGGTCACGCCTGGGAGTCTCATGTCTCCAAGCACATAATGACTAAATGACTGGTAAGTAAAATAATATGGCACCTGGGATTTGCTTTAGAATAATCTGAAAGGGCAAAGAATGAGAAATAGGCAGGACAGAACAACAGGGATTAGCTCAGAGGCGCTAACTGCTGAAGCTGAGAGGTGAGTGTAACAAACACATGTTGCTTTTATGTTTGAGCTTTTTCCATAGATATATTTTATAGCTTAGAATAAAAATAAATATATAAAAAAGTCCCTCTCAAGGTGTTTCACTAGAGATACGAGGATTCCTGTTGTTCAGTTTTAAACTAACTCCTCTCACCCCCACATTTGCCATATGAATCCAATATGAAACGACCATTTCATATCCAACTGGAAATCAGCTATGAGCTTTGCATGCAGAACATAATAGAAGGCTCCAAATTCTTACTAAGATAGACAGAAACGGTTAAATCTTAGCTACTAAGAACACATGACATGCATGGGATGATGTGTTTACTGTTGCTGTCTAATCTTACACAGTTGGTGGAAAATAATGGGCAAAGTGAGGACTGCCACCCCACATGGTGTTTAACACCCCAGTGAAAGTCACAACCCCAGGTCATCCACTCCTAACAAAGGTCCCAGTCCTTAGAAAGTCATTGGACACTGGCCCTAAAGACACAAGGGAGCTCAGCAGTTAAAGCAATCCTCAACGTTGAGATTTTCAGACACCTCAAGGCCAGCCCATTATACAGCAGAGGTACTGTTCTTTCCAGAATCATTTTCCCTGTTCACATACAAGTCCTTAGGATGGTGGGACAGAATTAAATGACAATGTTTCCTTAGCAAGAATAATCTTTATGATCCTATTTCCTATAGCTCCACCTTCAGGACAGGAGAGTTACTTCTGAGTCCCTGTTGTGGAATGCCCAGAGCAGCCAGGGGAGAACCAAAGTCCAGTGAAGAACGTAGCACAGAGCTAGAGCATTGCAAACCACCACTTGCCCATGTTGAATCTGTCACTTGGGAATCCATTCCTCAAGCTATTCTTAGAAACACGATCACCAAAATAATCTAAGGGTCACTGGCAAGAAAAAGTTAAAATTATTCTGATTTGAGGCATGGCAACGTGGCTGTCACACAAACAGCAAGCAGACAGATTACACAGACCAATAAGAAAAGTTGAAAGAAAATACTGTTTTCTTCTCTGGGTGAACTTACAGGTTTATCCATGTTCCCTGAAAATGCAAAAAGATTACTGAGAAATAAATATTCATAGGCACTCAGTCCTGCTTACACAGACCATTAATTCATGGGGGGGGGTTTCTAAGAGAGTTCCTGATGCTATGATTTCACAATATACAATAAATTATGGATTAGTTCTTTGGCATATCAGTTATATTGAGCTATTTAAATTTTATTTATAAAATACAAACATGACTACAAAGATGTAACTATATAATGCTAAAATATTTCCAGTTGTGACTACTGTCCTATCCTTAGACAAGTCTTCCTTGAAACAAACATGAAGAACTTCAGACAATGAGAAAGCCTCACGTAGAGACCAAGAGAGTTCTACTCACATGGGACAGCATAGCCAGCTCATGGTGACACGTGACAGCATTCCTATTGGCTTCCATAAAATATCTCTGTGTGCGCCTCCGCTCCCGTTCCAGTTTCTTCTCCAAAGTCAGCTGGGATGTGGACAAGGTGTCTAAATACTTCATCATGACATCTGATATCATGGAGCTGACTTCTACAATATCTGGACGGGCTTCTGCATCAGGAGTGAGGCACCTAAGAAAAGACAACATAACTGTAACATTGGTTGACACTGGCAAAGTGCAGGGGGTGGAGGTGGAATCAAGCCCAGTCGGGCATCCACCATGGTATCTGCCACCCAAGAGCAGCCGGGACAAGACAAGCACCAGGCATGGCTCCAAATTCAGCACTTCTCAAGACACATCTGGAATCTGGAAAGAGGGGCAGCTCTGGGCTTTGCACTTGAGCTAGTGATCCAGGGTTGTAGGCTAGGCAGGAAGCTGCTCCCAGGTCTCAGGGGGAAGTCACAACCGGGCTCAGTAGTTAAAGCAATGAGGATGAGTGTCCCCCCAAAATGAAAACACTGGACGCCTCAACTCATCTGCATGTTGGCTGCTTCTTGAAATCACAGCCAGCTCACCATTCAAGTGAAACCAAAAGGGATCCCCTTTGAAGCAATTAAAGAGTTTCTGGGAGGTTACCACAATTTTTTACCATTTCTGGCTGTTTATTCACAATATTAACACACTTTGATTAGTAGAAGTCTTACAAGTCTCAGAATAATAGATATAAAATATAACACAGGGAATTAGAGATTTGAGATGCTTATAGTATATAGTGTCAAAAATAAAGATCTGAACACAGTGGTACACAGCCATAATCTCGCCATTCAAGAGGCTAAAGCAGGGGGCTGGAGAGATGGCTCAGTGGTTAAGAACACTGACTATTCTTACAGAAGGCCCGGGTTCAAATCCCAGCACCCACATGGCAGCTAACAACTGTCCATAACTCCAATTCCAGGGGATCCAACAGCCTCTTCTGTCTTCCACGGGCATTGCACAACAGGGGTGCACTTACCTACATGCAGGCAATACATGCATACATATAAAATTTTTAAAATGGTAATAAAATAAAACATTTTAAAAGAAGAGGCTAAAGCAGGAAGACCATGAGTTTGAGACCAGCTCGGGCTACAGAGTTAAGAACCTAACTCAAAAAGAAAACATGAGAGCAATTTTTCAAATTGTAGTTTACTGGGCATAAAAAAGAACGGTTCACAAACTGGGAGACTTGGAGCTAAAAATGAAAAGCTGATAAAAGGTAAAAGTTGATAAAATATAAGGCAGGAAGCATTTTTACCCCTTTTTTGATTAGTTATTATTTCTTTTAAAGAAAACAGCTGTTTACGTTCACTGTATCTGATTACTTTCATTCCACTGAAAAATCTTGAGAAGGGTGTCATGCTAATATCTTGTGTTTGTTTCTAGTAATAGAGTTTCAGGGAAATCAGGATAATTTAAGCAGGGATACATAGTTGTGGGCAGTCTACACTGGAGTATGTCTAAACTGTGTCCTCCGTTTTTACTTTCTTTACAAATTTTGTTTAAACAATCTGACACATTGCATGCTAATGTTTTCTGTGGTGTCGGAGGCAGAGACTGTCATTGGCCACACAGCAGGGAGTCTTGTCTAGTCTAGACAATAACAGAAGACTTTCTATGTGGCCCTGAAGACAGCTATTAAGATTTCTGCACTGACTCCATTTCAGCACGTAAAACTATTGCATGGCAGTATTCCAATGTTCCATTTCACCACTACACTGGAAACTTCTTAAAGGGAAGTGGGTCTTTCCCCTTTACAGTGATCTTAGTGAGTAAAGTAGAGTCTGGGTCTTGAAAACTATTCAGTCCATTCAGTGAATGAGTGAATGGATGAGTGAACAAATGAACTTGACTTAACACCTAAAGAATTTACCTATCCAGAACCAGGATGTCTGATGCAGGCTTGCAAACTCCCAAGAATACCCTAGCAGAGGTTCCCATGTAGCCCCATTACTCATTTGGGTATTTCAGAGACCTTCTTCAGAATAAGTGAATCAGAGTGAAGTGCATGCTGAGAACTGGCAGGGGTGTGGCACACTCCTGTTATTCCCTAATCAAATATATGTAGGGTCTTTTCTCAAGGAAAATCTGGGATAGTCCTCTCGTTCTACCAGCTTTATCTCTGTTCTACCTAGGTAGAGAGATGAGAAAAAATTCCAGGGGATAGTTTAACTATCTTCATTTCATGTTTTATGAAACAAAGAGCTGAAGACGGAGTAAGAATGCACAGATCCCCTTGTCCTTAGAGAGCACTGCAGCGTCAGCCCCTTTCATCGGCACCACTGCTCTGCAACAAAGTGCCAGACAGCTTAGGCAACCAGGCAGAGAGAAAACAAAGGATCTGAGGAGTTTATGCAGAAAAGGAAGTCTTCTTCCTTGTAAAACAACAAGAAAAAAAAAAAAAACAGAAAAGGAAACACACAGTGCTGTCCCCACAGTGCTTGTACTTATACGCATGCGTGCATTAACACTCAAACATGTAACATAAAAATAACAAATAAAATATGTTTTTTAAGAGTGTTTTGCTTTCATATAACCTTGCACCAAGTTTTTGAAGAAAATGAAAGATTAGGAAAACAGGAAATGTGAAATTGGTCTCTAATTCCTCTGGAACTTAGTTTTTCAACATTAAAAATTCAAAGCAAATTAATACGCATGTAAACTCACAGTTGATTGTGGCTTGATGTTTTCTAAAGATATGAAAATACAGTTAGAAGTCTTGAATAACTTTAAGTGAAAATAATGACTGTTACAGAATGCACCCTGCAATTTTAATTTATATTTGTTATAAAATTAAATTGTTCATTATCATCATATATTAGTATTTTAAATCAAAAGTACCTTCAAAAAACATTTCATCTGAGGGCTAGGGAGCTGAATCAGTGGATAAAGCACTTTCCACACAACACAAGGGTGAGAGTCAGGGTTTGGATCCCCAGAACCCATATAAAAGCCATGCAGGTATGGCAGCTGCCTGTAATCCCAGGGCTAGGTAGGCAGAGAGAAGGGATCCCTAGGACAATCTGGCCAGCTAGACTATCTAACTGGTAAGCTCTGGGTTCAGTTGAGAGACCCTGTCTCAGAAAATAAAGTGAAGACACTGAGCCTCCAGACATATGTGAACATATGTGTACATGCACATGCACATCAGTCACGCACCCACACATGCGAACACACCCATGCGCATCAGTCATGCACTCACACATGTGAGCATGCATACACACATATGCACATGCATGCACACAACACATGTGCACACATGCAAATGTTTCATCTGGAGTCCTTGATAAGTGACCATTCATCTTCTGAAACATTCTGGTGACAGTGAACTCAAGGACCCACTACAAAGCCTCCTCCGGGCAGCTATCTCTAATCCTGGTGTGCAGATGGTGCCTGACCTTGGCTTGCTGGTGACTTTCACTGTTTTCCTGGTCTTGCCTCCATGTCTCAAGTGAATAAATACAGTGCTTTTCATATATCCCCAATCAGCCCACTGTCCCTGTTAACTGAAGTAGCTTTTCATCTTAGAACTATACCTTCAAATGTGCAGACAATATCCAACCCACAGTGCAAACTTTTGCCACCTCCTCCATCAGTCCACCAATGTTGCCATTGGCTCTCAGTGTGCAGTGCGATCTCATCGTCCTTCTTCTTTCTCCTCTGTCTGTTCCTCACAAACTCATCGATATATTATTTTTCAATACGGTATTGTATTATTATCATCAAATTAGTATAATAATTCCATCACTAATAACAATAGCTAATTTGACAAAGAGCACACTGCATGCTTCATAGTGTACAAAGCATGTCCTTAGAACTATTTTACTTAGAACAATCCATGAGTGTGTGACTACCCAACTCACATAGCACAGATGAGAACACTCGGGCTCCATAAAGTTAAGTGAGTGGAAAGAGAGGGAATTGGAGCCAGTGGGCTCTAGAATACAGTGGGAATCTAACCCTTTACATGATGACTCTGCCATATGATTGTCCCACTTTGCTATGACATGCAGGCCCATCCACTGGGAGCCAGGAAACCTGTCAAAGGAGATGCAGGCTTGCTTGGGTTCACTCTTCCCCTGCCCTCTGTGGCACTCAGTCCCTATGAAAGGAGATTGTATACTATCAACACATCTCTGGAGATTTCTTCCATTTTAAGGTACTTCCCAGAAAACAAACAACGAAACAGGAACAAATCATGAAGCCAAGCAATTTAAATGCATTATCTGGATCATTAACAAGAGGACATGACCCAGGATATGTGGATGATTTAAGGAGCGCTTTTAGCCAATTTCCCATAGCATAGATAGTTAACTGCCAAAATTGCTCAAGAATTCATCACTTGCAAACTGTGTGCCAAGTGCTTGGCACATATTGTTTTGCATGATGGTAACAACATCAGACTGGTGAAGTAGGTTGAACCCCTTCAGTGCCACTACAATCCCTGTTTCACTAAGTGATGAAACAGATACAGAAATCTCTTGCCCAGCGTCTTGATTCCACAGGGTTTTGCCCTGGCCAGGCTCATCTCCAGACGCTGAGGCTCCGAGGTTCGTAAGACTAGGTCAGTATTATGAAAACAAGGAGGTCAAGAAATGACTCTACAAACAGGTGAAGTATAACCAGTAAAAGAAAACAAAACAACAAAACAAAACACAACAATGTGCTGGCAGGAGGACCCGAAGGGAATAGCCACTGTAGTATGTCCACTGAAGTCCACTGAAGATGGTGCTCAAGGTTCTAGAGCCTTGGGAAGAGGGTAAAAAAATTCCATCCAGGGTGACTTGAGGGATCCATACTGCCCAACACAATAAGGGCTTGCTTCAACTTGATGAAGCAGAGAAATAATGTTGGTCTCATTTAAGCACCAAGATGACCTAGACAGTGTCATCAGCTATTAGCCATAATGTCTCCCTGTAACCAGTGTTCACTAAGGGTCTGTTCTGTGCCAAGCATTCATCCTCTGGGTACTAAACAGGTAAGAACCAAGGTAACAAAGTATCTGCTGTGACGTTTAGTGAAGAAGAAACAATCATCAAACAAGTATGTGTATGCTTATGTGTGTGATATTCATTGTTGTTGTGACCAAATATTAATACTTGATCAAAAAAACCTTAAGGAATGAAGGACTGGTTTATTGGGGGTCATAATTTA